AGCTTAGGCAATGAAGGGAGGARAGGGCTCATCCTGAGCTTTATTCCTTGGGTTAGGGCACATATGCATTTGCCAGACAGAGGGGTCTGCAGTGAGTAACCAGACTGTATGTGATACCTATACCAGAAGCAGAGTCCTGGAGTCCTGCATCCCAAAGCTGCATTCACGCTGCAGAGCAGATTGAAAGCAAAGAACTTGTGGTTTTACTTCTTCATTTATTGGGGCGTTGCTTACACAAGTGAATAGAGACTATCCCTCTGAAATAGAAGCAGAATAATTGCYGTTGTTTCCTGGTTAGCTGGGGTAGGACTTCATTAAGAAACCACAAAGGAAAACGACAGGAAAGTCGTCCTCAAGGGCCTGTGCTTGGTGGGCACGCGCTGCACGGCTGGGTGCAGAGGGCAGTGGCCCAATGTCATCGACAGGAAGAGGCACAGCAAACAAGGTCGCCTGTCAGCCAAGGAAAATTGTTCCAGAGGGAAAAGAAAAAACAAAAAAGCAACCTAATCTTGGTAAAAATATAGTCCCTGAACACTGGCAGGGTCAGGGTCAGATTGGGTTACGTGTTGTGTAAGTCCCCATTATACAAGCCAAGGCAGAGCCTTTCCCGGGACTACTCAACCTTCTTTCCCTCGCTTGGTTTTGCTCTTGCTCATTCGTTCACCTTTTCCTGGCCGTCCCTCCTCCCGGWGCTGCCTGGTTCACCAAACTCGGCAGCCCAAGTGCCGTGAGTTAGGAAACCACTCGCTCCTAAATAAAACAGGGGCCTGGAAGTTTACGAGTGAACCTAAATCAACCCAGCGGCTGCAATAGCGGTGTGCATGATTCACCGCGTGACTAACTTCAAGCCCATCGCTCGGGAGGCTCTTTTCCCTCCACCAGCGCACATGCTCCATTCAGTGAAAAAAATATATGTTTTTCCATGAGAAAGCATCCCATCACTGGCAAGCTGCTGTCTTTGCCATCGCTCGATGGCCCTTGCACTTGCAAGGCAGCACCCGCTCTTCAGGCACGTGCTCTGGAAACAACTTGGTGTTATGTTTTCAGCCCGAGCAATGTAAAATAAGGCTGCTCTTCCTTCAGGAGTGTGTTTCCTCCTGCAGAAATAGCTGCTTCGACTCCCTCGCCTCGTCCCTTTACTGGGACATTTCAGGTTCTCAGTCCCGAGCACCTGGAGGAAAAGCAGTGGGAGCGGGAAGAGYGAGAGATGCGATTTCTGGAGCCAGAAACCCACCCCACATTTGAAAACCAGCAGGTCGAGGGAGGTGATCGTCCCCCTATACACAGCCCTGGTGAGGCCACATCTGGAGACTGTGTCCAGGTCTGGGCTCCTCAGTACAGGAGGGATGTGGAACTACTGGAGAGAGTCCAGCACAGGGCTACCAGGATGATCAGGGGCCTGGAACATCTGCCCTGTGAGCAAAGGCTGAGGGAGCTGGGCCTATTCAGCCTGGAGAAGAGGAGGCTGAGGGGGGACCTGATCAGCGTGTATAAATACCTCAAGGGAGGCAGTGAGGAGGAGGGGGGCGGCCTCTTTTCAGGGGTGGCCAGCGACAGGACTAGAGGAAACGGCCACAAACTGAGGCACCAAAAGTTCCACAGGAACTTTAGGAAAATATCCTTAACAGTGAGGGTGCCAGAGCCCTGGCACAGGCTGCCCGGGGAGCTTGTGCAGTCTCCTTCTTTGGAGATCTTCCAAACCCGCTTGGATGCMGCCCTGTGCCCCGTGCTCTGAGTGTCCCTGTGTGTGCAGGGGGGTTGAACTAGATGACCTCTGAGGTCCCTTCCAACCTTAAGCATTCTGTGGTTCTATGATTCTCTATTCCAGGAGAGTGCAGACGTGCTGCTTCTGGTGTTTTTCTCTTTTCCATGCTGTTTTAGAGATTACCTTCAACCCAGCACACATCCTCAATGCTTTGAGGCTCCTGTCTGATGCCAACACCCCAAGAAAGCTGCTGACCTGTACATGTGTGGCTTAGTATGGTCCTTTAACGGGGGAAGAAAAAAATACAGCTTTGTACTGCAGACAGTGCCCTGGGAAAATTCAGGTTTTACAACTATATAAAACATACTGATGTCTTGTAAATACAACTTGCTTGTTAATGAGCCACACGGGAAGGGACTTACTAAAGCAATGCTTTCGTGACAGAAGAAAGGCTTAAAACCCCAAGCTAAACCCACCCGAGTTTGGAGACCTGCATCTAATGATCACTCCTGTATTAGGAGCACAGCAACAGAATTTTACCTGGAAACTGGAGGCCTTTGTTTGGCTCAGAGTGCAAATTCAGTAAGACCAAACAACTTTAATGCTGCTTCATGTTTCAGTGTAGAGGAGCTCGGGGTTTAATGGAAGAAGTAGACACTGATCCCGGCGCTCATCCCATACCTACCTCCGCGGTGCCGTTTCCAGCAGGCCCTYGTTCCCAGCAGGGAGATGCACACAAGCTGCAGACGAGATTCCTGCTCAAATCCCACTCAGGTTTTAAAAATGCACATTCAGCCACCGCATCCTTCTCTTCCATTTCTCACTGGATAKTTAATTGGGACCAAGAAATAAACCACACCAAACCAATTCACCCAGGACACCTTCAAGGTTGGTTAAGAAGCTCCTCATAGTTCATCCCCTTTTCACACTTTGTGATTTCTCAAATACAGCCTCGTTGTTCCACCACTGAGCGAGGTTAGGCCAACATGAGTCCTGCCTTCTCCGGCCAAGCCCCTTTGCTTCGCTTTGGAGGAGAAAGAGCTGTCCCTACCCCGAGGACAAGCCCTACACCAGGTAGACACATGGAATCACTCGTATTCATCTGCAAAGGCCAATCACCCCTACATTTACCCCTGCAGTGCTCCCTGGAAGGACAGGACAGCTGCTCCTCACAGCCCGCATCTGCCACCACACTGAAAATTGTGACCATTTCAAGTGCTACTTAAAAAGAAAGAAAAAAAAGAAAAGCCCAAGGCAATATTCTTGCCAGTGGCTGTTCCCTTCATCTTAATCTAGATCAACTTGACATAAGCCATTTACTTCACGGTTAACCCCGGAAAAATCCTGCGGGAAATATAAACTCCTGCATTAATCCTGCTCAGCGGTTTGGTCCCCCTTGGCTCTGGGTGGCGCTTGGATCCAGATTCAAACCCGCGCCTTCCCGGCGGGATCCTCAGGGATCCCCACGCGGGCTCTCGGTTACGGAGGAGGGAAGGAGACACCCCTGCAAGCGCCGGGCTCTGCAAGGAAACGTAAAGCAGGGCTGAAGTTGCTCTCTGCCTAATGCTGCGGCTTAAGCAGCTAATCTTGTTTCAGCTGAATGGCACGTTCATTACAGCACAGAAATCAGTAACGTGTGGGATTATGGAGGAGGAAAGACATATTAAACCAGTTTAGGGCATCATATTGATTTCTTTTTTTTTTTCCCAGTGTCCGATTGAGCTTGGCGTTTTTCAACAGTCAGTTCTAATAAACGCTTGTATAGTGCAGATTAAGCAGGCGGGAATGTTGCCCAGAAAGAGTATTATGAATAACTTAAGACACTGGTTTAATTGCAGCAATCCATGATACTAACTGTGCTGGCACCGGAGCGGAATTTTCCATATTAAAAGTCAAAGCTTCAGTAGAGCAACCAGCAAATGTCCCTCTTTTGTTAAATATTTGAAATAGTTTTCCAACGTTTTGTTGCCTCGGATGAGGGCAGGGGAAGCATTCATAGGTCATTTAACTCATTTACCATGCAGCTTCTCTAATGCTCTCACAGCATTAGAACAAGCTCACGGTACCTCTCCCGCTTCCTTTCGTTACATGTTTTTTATGCCTCGGATTAGGCTGCATTTCAGCTCCTGGCACAAAGCAACGCTACTCTTCCACTGTATAATTTCTTATACTAGTGGAAATGCACAAGATACACCCAGCCCACATGTCCTGCACAGCCACACTTACTGGAAAAAAACAGGCTAAAAATGCCTACACTCGTGTCAGAAGGAAAATCCATGGTAAAATACGATGGGAAATGGGCAGGTTACCCACACMCTCTGATTAGGAGTGCACTGACTTTGCTGATCACACAGCGCCTCATTCCACAGAAACTCTGCATTCAGGGCATGAAACCAAACGTATAAATTAGCAGAGACGCAAGTAGATTTGATGGCACTTGATTAACCGGACAGTGAGCACAAGCAGCAATACATTAGGGATCCGAAGCCATTTCGCAAATGCGGGAGGCACTTGAGAAAGATGGAAAAAGCAGCCATTACAAAAAAAAAAAAAAAAATCCCCCGGAACTTCAGTTCAGTTTGTAGAAGACTCCAGTGTTCAGTGRTTAAGTGGTGCCTCAGCTAGCTCAGAATAAGAGAGGAGCCTTGTCAAGAACCTCATCTCCTTCAAGGTACCCAAGCCTCCCCTTCCTGCTCAGCTGCAACCRGGGCCCCCTTGGTCACCCTCTCTCTTCTGCAGTCATTCCAGCCACCTCGGAACCACCTCTTCACACCAAACCCTTTGCCAGGGGTGTTTCCACCCTCGGTTGCTGTCTGAGCCTCTGCTCCAGCCATCAGCTAAATCCTGCCCTCATTCCCTTGGGTGTCAAACTCCCTGCTTTGACTGGACTCAAACTCCAGCCTTCTGATGTAGCTGCAGTTCCTCATTTGTTCTGTATCCTGCAGCAGCACTGCTTGGAAAATGCCTCTTCCCTCTCGTTTTCCTGCAAAGGGCATAAGGAATACAGCCAGAAACATAAACTCAGAACAGCACTATATGATATGCAGTATATAACATACATACTATATAATACTGGAAATGGAGCAATTAAATAACCACACTGCTCACTGTTTATTGACAATCTTTATTAGAGCTGATTTTCAGTGTTTAAAGGTTTCTTAACAGAAGTATAAATATGCATCGAAGTGCTACCCCAGAGTAAGAAATTTTATTTGCACAAAGAGATACAAACAAGTGGTATTTCAAACYGGTATTTTTTGTTTAGTACACACAATGTCAAAAAGGCAAGAGTAAACCAAGGTGAAAAGATTAGCAGCAAAAAGAATTTTAGTTCTCCTTCACACAGCCTGTGTGCTTCCACATTTCTCTGAGAAACAGAGYGCAAAGACATTAACTTAGATACGAAATAGCCTACAAAAATGTAACACTGTATAAAGAAAGTTAGTACTACAAAGTCTGGGAAAAAAAAAAAAAAAAGGAGATGCAAGATCAAAAACCAAGTGCAAACTTTACTGTTGCTTTAAAATAAAAAACAACAACAACAAAAATCACATGAGTATTTCCTTTTAGCTTAGCAGCCAGGGATGTAAGAAAAGCTGATTTTTTTTTTTAAATAATAAAGTGCTTAACCACCATATCCAGAAGTAATGACTTTCAGACCTACTTAACATGAATGTGCTCAAAAAGCCACTGCTTACAGTATAAAAGCTGTCATTCTGAAACGCTGCACATACAAATTGGCTTTATCTGCATGAATGAAAGATTGCTTTGAACAGCCCTCAATCATATGATGCCCCAAATCAACGTAATGCTATTAGGGGAGGCAGCTGAGTAAGTCCCCCGAAGTTAAAGTTTAAGAATAAGAGATGCAAAAATAACATTTTCATTTAAGGCAGCGTGCCTCTCTCAGCCACAAGACAACTTCACGTGCTAAGCAAGACAAATACCATTTTCTATTGCTGTCACAAACTACCCAGAACAAGCTGAGTGTTGACCCAGCAATTCCCACGAGAAACAGAGGGCAATAAGTACTCTTAGAGGCAAAACACAATAAAGTAATCATGTGGGTGAGACAAACTATCACACTCTTTTACTTAACACTAAACACACTTTAACGTGACTTTCAAACTCACGGTATGTCCAAATTTCAAAAACCCCAACAGAATCGGTGACTTGAAGAGCTTTAGGACTGTTTTGTTGGGTATTTATTCAGCCTTTGTGCACTGGAAAAGTTCAGCAGATTAAGTCCCACAGCAAGTCAAATACAAAAGACTATTTGGTAAGTTTGTGATAGAAGTTTGTGAGCACAGACTCTCAGAGAAACTCATTTTTTCAGCCAATATGGCCACTCACATTTAATCTCACAGTTACGAAACACATACAAATGTGAGCAAAGGCTCTGGTATTTGTTAAGTTTAAGTGCAACTATGAGCTGTTTCAATCCAGCACTCTCCCAGATCAGCACCACCAATACTGTTGGTATTGCTACGGCTGAACCGTGTCCACACAGCGCCAGGAGCACCGCTCATCCCTGCAGTTATTCTGCTAGTGCAAGGCTCAATCTACTCATCTACTACACAGGGTCAATTTTCAAACGTGTTTCTTGAAAGTCATCAACTCCCACCACAGTTCTTCAGGACAATTTTTATGTTAGACAAAGTCCTGATTCATTTGCTGCTAAAATATGACATCTTCTCTACAGTAATTCATGCTCATACCTCTGTGAGCCAGAAAAATTCTCTAGAGCAGGAAATTCAACATCTCCAGTGTCTCTGCTTTACCTCACTTCTGCTTTTCCAAAGCAAAAGAGAGGGGGAAAAAAAAGAATCATAGAAAATAGACTTTATAATTGAAAAGGGAAAGGAAACAACTCAATAGAGATACACAGTGAAGCATTCAGTTGCACAGGCAGACATCTAAAATAAGCCTCTGAAAATTTAACATTTGAAAAGCAGTGATTTTAGTGGTTTAAGCGTGCGAGTGCCTAAATATGCTGCCTGTTTCAGAGATAGCTGAATACTGTAGTCATCAATGATTACTATTCATGTCTAGCACTGGCAGTTTTGTTGCTTTTGTTGCTGGCGTTGGACATAATATATTACCACTTCCTCTGCATGCTTCATGCTTTTTAGAGACCATCACAATCAATTCAGCAGCATGGCTTTAGAGAGAGGTATTAGAAATAGCAACAACTTTTTTTTTTTTTTTTTTTTAAGTGGTCTCCCATACATCCAAGATCTGACAAGACTGACTGCTGCTTGGAATTAAACGTAACACTTCAAACAGGAACATCAAAAATAATTTCAAGCTTTTCCTTTCTGCAAGAATCACCTTGGAAAGACTAAGGATCTCAGTTCAGAAAGGTAGGCAGCGGCGCGACAGATTTTTGTGAAATAAATATGGAAAAGCAAAGAGGAAAAAAGCATGCAAGGGAAATGCAACTACTCTGCTGATGAGAAATACAAAAGCTTAAGAGACAGAAAAAAGCATCACCTTCAGCCTGAGCCTGAAAAAACACACACAATTTTCAAAACCAGAGTCCATACAGTGTCACACAGCCCTGCCTTGTCATGTTTGTTAATATCCCCGCTTAGAAGTCAGACAGCATTTTGTTTAACTTGTGTTGCTCTGTATCATTATACTAAACCATAATTAACTCCTCTTTTGTGCCGGCCTCATTCCAACACAATTGTACCCACTGTATACCAGCAGCAGTTCTCAGGTTTTGTTTTGCAGCTCAGCTGTATTTTTCTTGGATGTTCACGAGACTGGCATTTGACTGGATACGCTTGGCTGGAAAAGGAAAAATTATATGAAAATTAAACACAAAGAATTCCACAAAACTAGTCTCTCCACTCCCTCTATTGATGTAACACACACTTGCAAACAGCTTTCCGGTCACGTCCAGAAACTTCAATGAGCAGATATGGCTGCAACTCTTCGCTACCCTCCTTCAGGGGACAGCAGCAGCCTAATAGTCGCTATTAGCTCCGTCGTGCAGCTGCAGCAGATCTGGCCGGGCCCCCCTCTCCCACAAGAGCCAAGAGTGCCCAGCACCGCCCGCCTGCGGCAGCGCCTGCGAGCGCCATCACTTACGCAGAATCAGGATGCGCTTCTTCTGCTTGGAGTGAAGGAAGCTGCTCAGGTAAAAAACAACGGGCAAGAAGAGGATGAAGGATGAAACCGCAATCACTGGGACTGTGTCGCTGCAGGGCACGGAGCAGTTGAAAGTCCTGCTCCAAAGCTTCCGAGTGATGTTCATCTGTAAGGAAAACGCGGGGAGAAAGCGAGCAGTGAAAGCGAGCACATGCATTTCTTGGGAATAGCACAGTAAAAGCTCAGGCTTCAGGACATTCGAGCGTTCAAATATGAGTGCAAAAGACGTCGAAAAGATCCTTTGCTTTGGATGGATCTCCCTTCAAAAGCAAACAAACCCCAGAAACATAGGAACAGGCAAGGTGAATGGAGCAAAGGCTTCAGAGCAAAACTTTCATTCACTCCAAAGAAAGACTATACTCAGATATACTACAGACATTGTCACACGTCTGCGTTCTTGAGGACTTGCTGACAGCCTGGAGACTGGGTGCCAGTCTCACACTTCCAACAACTCTCCTTTTGCCAAACTGCTTAAAACGCCACACTCTAACAAAGCTTTTCCAAACACGTTGCAAATACTGAGGACCTCTGGGAAAAGTTGCTGTAATAAGGAATCAACCATTACTCCGACTAGAACAATAAAGTAAAACTTTACATTAAAAGCCAAAAGATCAAGGAATGTTTTGAAACTCCACTCCCTTTACAGTAAGGAGCCACTAGCTATTCCAACTGCTCGGGCGCTCAGGAGCTTTGGCCACACTCCTGCTGCACTCGCTGAGGACGGGGCCTCACAACCCAGCCTCGCTGGGCTGGCCTGGCACCAGGCTGCCAACGCCGCTGCCACCRGTCCCCGTCCAAACCGAGGGGGGAAAAAAGTGACCCCTAACAAGCCAACCACCAACCGCCCGGATTACTGCAGAGCTCCACAGCAAGGTCTCTCCCCGAGGCGTTGGTGGATACTCACTGCATCTTCCACGTCTATGCACAAGTGTGCTGAGTGTCCCGCCTCGCCGCCTTGCCGGTTCATCCGCTGCAGGTAGTTATAGCGCTCGTTCAGCATTCTGTAGGTGGCATTGCAGTTCTTGCACACCTCGGTGTAGTTGCTTGGCGGCAGGTCGAGAGCTTCTCCCTASGATTATAAAGTACCCTTCATACAGGGGTTTGAGGCGTTGATGTCTTGAAAACCAGAGCTAGGTTTGAACCACAATCTAGATTTCTAACATTCAAAATCAGGGAGGGGCCTAGACGGAGAATTGTCACATAAGAACAATTGTCACATAAGGACATTAAACCCGCCTGGATGTCGCCCTGTGCCCCGTGCTCTGGGTGTGCCTGCTTGAGCGGGAAGGTTGGACTAGATGATCTTTAGAGGTCCCTTCCAACCTTGAATATTCTGTGATTCTGTGAACAGGGGAAGAAAAGGGACCGACTAAGTCACAAGTGTGTTTCCCTGACATCATTTGCTATTAGCAAGTTATACTGATCTTAAAATGTTTCTTGAACTAGCAGCTTAAAACAAAATTTTGAAACTACCAGCTCCCAWGAAAGAAAAAGATTGCTAGCAATAAAATGATGTTCTGGAGTCACACATCACATTCTTTATTACCAATGTCAGGCTTTTATTTGCCTATAGCTAAAAAATATTAAAAAAAAAAAAAAAATTACTACTGAGCTATAAAGAGAGCAACAGACATCAACCCTCATCATCACAGAATGCAATGTGACACACTTGAAAACAGCACTACAGTCCCTAAAGACATTCCCATCCAGCCTGCCCAAATGGATGCTGGTTTAAGTTCTGTTAAGTTCTGCTTTGAACACCTGAAGTAATTAAGAGACCTGTCCCACAGTGCTTCTCAGCAATAAAGGTGCATTTCCTAGACGTCGTTAATTAATGAAAAGATAAATGACTATCATCTCAGAGCCTGTGCCATGCCCATCATTTCCCATTTTTACTGCTGAATGATCCCAGAGCTTTGCTAGTTTCTCATTGAGATGGACTAGGCACTGATTCTTTGCATGTTTAAAGCATTTTCTTGGAGGACAATTGCTACACTTACCTCATAAAATGAAATACGTTGCATCTGTAATAGGAACAAATTTTGGCTCCCACCCATCTTACTGGTTAAAAATGTTGCTATGTTGCTTTAGGGTAGCTGGTCTTTCTGAATTAGCACATACTGAGTGTTATTAAAAAACTGAACTGTTAAGTGAGAGGACAAGAATTCTATAAAGAAGTAGAAAAAAACAACACGCGGCAAGGATGTGACTTACTCTGTAATTATCAACTACTGTGAATTCAGATATTCTGATATGAAGTAGCAGCGCAATTACAAACAAAATGAAGTCAAGGTGAATATCAAGTAGAATTAGTTTTAGGCTTCCAATCTGTAAACACCTGCATTTTACAGATCATTGCTCTATCTGCCTAAAGTGCCAATGAGTTTGTGAATTTTATTTGCCTATTATGTATCCCCTGTGGTTCATTCAGCATAAATACGATTTTACTAGCAATTAGAGGATATAGTGCTTCTTTTAAATACACAGCATAAATACCTGCAGGTTTTGTTCAAAACATGTCAGAGATTTATTGAATAATTCCAGGAATTCTTCAGTAGAATCTGATAAGCCCTCACTGTTGTTCTTTAAGCAATCTGTTAAAGAGAAAGAAAAATATCAGGATATTCTGATTTCTAACATTTCCGCAGGCAACAAGCCCCAGACACTCCACTCTCACACAGAGAGCTCTCAGCTATAAAAGACAGGTCTAGTCAACACTGCGCTCTCCTTATCTGCCCGCCACTGATGTCTCAGACCTGCTGACCTAACTCTTGAGTGAGAACATATTTCAGAACTAATTGGCCTTGATTAAGTGAAAGATGAAGACTATCATCAAGGGCTTGCTGAAGAGGGGATCTGAATTATCTTTGGGCTTCAAGATAAAACAAGACATTACTTTTATTTTCCACCCCGCAAATCTGGCTTTGCCCAGCAACGTTAACAGCCATTATGTGAGAGGAGAAGCATCAGAAGCAGAGATGAAACACAGCACAGCCAGGAAACAGAGAGAGCACAAACACCAGAGCAGAAATCGGAGCATAGGTTACTCCTGCTGAAGAAAGAGGCCGAGCCCTTCACTGGTTTTGAAGGGACTCTGGGCTTCCCTCCCAGTCACAGACCCATTTAACCCACAGCCAGTCTCTCTTTTTGCCCCTCCATCCCACTTCAGGTGCTCTCACCAGCTGGACCCTTCAAAATCAGAACAGCTCAGAAATTTAGATGTTCATCAAGAGCCAAGGCAAGGAGGAAAGGAGAAGCCCYAAAGCTGAGGCCACTCCTTCAGTGGGATGCTAGCAATCAGGCCACAGGTGGAACAGGGCAGGAGAGCAGGAATCTCCTTAACTCCCTCTCCTCCCTCACAGAGCCCAAAGTCACAACTGGAAAGAGCCTTTTTTGGGYTATCAAGGGCTATCAAGCAAACCCAGCATGCTTAATGCTCAGTTCCCAGCGCTATCCTCACTGTTTTCTAGCACACATGTTAGCACAGACCTCTGTGTCCCCGCCAAATGAAGAGGAACCAAAACCACAGCTCTAACGGCCACAGTGGCACATCACCAACAGCATGGAGACAGGGAGACAATTGGGATAGATGCAGACACCTGCTTCCCATGAAATGAGATCAAAAGTGCAGGGAGATCCTATTCAGCATGCAAGCAGGCCAGAGCAACTGACTTTTGATTAGCAAAAGTTTCTTACTTAATAAAATAAATATTTTTTTAAAAAAAGGAAGGACAGGAGGGAGAAACAGAAGAAACTGCAATAAAGCTAAGTCTTCAGCATCTGCAGATCACAGAAAAACTAACGCAACTCTGTTTTGAAAGAGTAGCCTACAAGGAATAATTGTGTAACAGTTAATTTTGAGGAAAACAACCCCCCGTTGAGAAACACTTGCTTAAAAACATATGGCAAACACTCTGCAGTTCTGATGTGAGCAAATTTTAGCCAAGTTAAGCTTAGCCATAACAGGACACGAAAGGTACAGAACAGGTGACGTACTTGCACAGTTGGCTGCCTCCCAGGTCTCATTGAAGAACTCGGAAAGCATCACAACTACCTGGAGCCTGTCTGAGGTCAAGATGCTTTTGGCACAATTGTGGCTCTCCGAAGAATTCTGGAAGAAAAAGAATCTGACATTATAAACATGAAAATTCCCCATAGCTTAAAATAGCAAGCCCTGCTCACAATAGCATCTCATCATCAAATTTGAAGTTTCCACACTAGGCAGAGAAGAACCAATGCAACAATAAAAACCTTTTGCTCCTCCAAATTGCACTGTGAGCAACACAGCAGATTACACAAAGTCTGCTGCATGCAAGTCAGTCAAAAAAATGCATCTAAAAAACAAAACTCACAAAACTGCAGAGACAGAAGTCCCCCTTTGCCAGCTAGTTCAGAGTTACCTATTTCTGTACAGCTACCCCATGAACCATCTCAAATCACACGCCATCAGAGAGAAGCATAGGATTATCCTAATTGCAAAGGGATATTTGGAAGCTGAACCACAACAGGTAGCAGAACATGATGTCCACAACTGCTGTGTTGCTGTTTGGCACCTGCAGCAAACATCCTGCAGATGCACCAGGGGCACAACCCTCACAGCAGCAGCCCCAGCAGCACTCCCTACGTGGCTGTTCTCAGAGCAGCTGCTTTTCTCCGTGAGATCCAAGTGTCAAACAGATCCCACCTTGGGAAGCCACCTAATGAATCCCATGCTCAGAGCAGGAAGATGGATGCAATTCCTACAGTAACTCATTCTCTGGGTAAAACAAAACAAAAAGCCTAGTGAATAGAAAAGTAGTGATAGAATAAAAATTAAATCAACTATCTCTATTGGGATATTAGAATTGGGATATTAGAATATTTTCTCCCTCAAAGATTTGATTTCCCCCTGCCCTGCAAGTCACTGATCCAAAGCCATGATCTCCAGTCCTCTGGCTCCTGTCAATTGAYTTAAGTGCTCCTCAAAATTGTCAAAGCTGCCAAAAGCCTTCTTATCAGTCCTAAATGACATGGGACAAAAAGAAAAAAAATCTCTCTAATGAGAAACAGGCTGATTGTGGAAGTTTAGGAAAGATTCAATCTTCACCTTTCTTAAACAAGAATTTTCCCTGTGAGGCTCAACTGCAGAAAGCTGCCAAATTGCCACTCCTGTCAACTCCTGCATTCACTCTCCTTCGGTTCCACAACACATCAGCAGCTGCTTAATGCAGGAAACTCTCTGCTTGCTTCACTAAGGCCTTCAGCTGTGAAGCTTCCTCACCAGCTTCACGTGAGAGTGGGCACAAGCAGCTCCAACGCAGATCCAGCAGACCTAAGCACTCCCTGAGGACTCCTAGCACTCCCTAGCTTATTCCTTAGTAAGCCCAAGGAGGAGAAGGGGTTTACACCTCACAAGTGCCCAAAACCAACAGATCACAATATAACTGTAACTAGTTGATCAGTTAACCCGCGCACAGAAGGAAAGCCAAGCGTGTGCCAGAGCAGCCAGGTCTTCCAGGTGAAGTTACCAGGCCAGCCCCCACTGCCCAGGCAGCCAGGATGCAAGAGCAGCCCCTGTAATGGGCTCATATACATCAAAAGTACTGGGATATCTGGCAACCAGCTCCTAGACCAAACTGATCTGAACGTATCCAGTGACCTCGTGCTGCTCCCCGAAGTGCCCTGTGTCTCAGTGTAACTCCATACCATTCACTGGAGGTCACTGGAGACCTGGTAAGATGTCACCCAACAGATACACAATCAATGCTCAGTTTCTCACTCTTCCGGAACCAAATCAGAGGTATGGAACAACTTCTGTATCACAAGCAATGAACAGACTACAACTTTCTAAACTACAGAGAGTGACTGGTGGAGCATTTGCCCTGGAGAAGGCAAATCCCACATGGAAGTCCCCGAGCTCTCACAGCACTAACAGGCGAAAGCTGACAGGCAACACATGGAAACCACACAGCACGTGCTACTTCTTCATATGGCCAGCAACTAAGCTGTGAAACTGCAACCGGGCACTGACGTGCCAGGAGTTGACACGTGCCCAAAGAGCAGCGGAGCCTCACGTTGATGGCCAATTCAAACCCAAACAGCTCTCAAGCAGAGGCATAACCCGAGGGACACGCTGTTGTTACACATTCCCTCTTCTCTTGTATTCCCAGGGCACATGCTTCTAGACATCATCAGAGGAAAGACAAAGGGCTGCTAGGACTTTTGGTCTGATTCACGACATCCACCCTCACAGCACCTGAGGCTTTCACAAATGGGTAAGTTGCACAAGCTAAAAAAGTTTACTGTTAACCTTGTACAATGGAAATGATCTCCACGACCGAAACATGGAGAAAAAGAAGACTAAGAGGTTGGAAGAGGTAAACGGAACAACTGCAAGGGCAGGGTGAGGCTCTGTAGACCCCAGCAAAGGCTCAGCATTTCTCACTTGCAGCCACACGCTCTTACGGGACACGGAAACAGAGGACAGGGACACTCGGCAGAATCCCAGGGCCAGTTCCCACGAGGCGCAACACGTCCTGTCACGGGTACCACGAACGCGTCCAACAAGCAGCCGCGGCGCTGCGACCGGGCAGATCCGGCACAGCCCAGGCTTTCCCACCAACGCAGAGGAAGCTCTTGGCGGCCGTGGGCACCGCGGACAGGGCGGCTGTGCCCGCCACAGCGGCAGCAAGGCCGGTGCGTGCCCTGCTCCCCGCGGGCGCTGCCAGTGCTGCGCCCAGCTGCAGCAGACCTCCCGGCCCAGCTCCTGCGCTGGAGGTGCCGACCCCAGGCCCGTGCCCGGCGACGGCCCTGGGCTCCTGGAGGCTGCAGGACCAGCCGCAGGACCCTCCTGCACATCCGTGCACAGGGCCGGGAAGGAGCCCTGCAAGGGAGCTGTGAGCGCACAGAATGGGGGACAGGAGAGCGGCCCAGGGAGCAGCCACGGAGCGGCCACAGGGAGCGGGCCCACTGTGGACACCCGCCCCGTGCATTAAGGGCACGCATGGTCCCGGGGCAGCCCCCCAGGTCCCACACCGGTCCCGGGGCAGCCCCCCAGGTCCCACACTGGTCCCGGGGCAGCCCCCCGCC